TACCTAGATTTACAGGCAGTCCCCAACTTATAACCACAATTGAGCCCAGAATTTCTGTTGCTAAGCAAGACAGTTGTTAAGTGGGTTGCGCCCCATTTTATGACACCGTGTCACAGTGGTTAAGTAAATTACTGCACTTGTTAAGTAAATCATGCGGTTGTTAAGTAAACCAGGCTTCTCCCATTGACTTTGCTTGTCGGATGTTGGCTGGGAAGATTACAAATGGTGACTCCAGGATACTGCAACTGTGATAAATACATGCCAGTTGATCATGGGATTATGGGGATGCTGCAACAGTTGTAAGTGTGAAGTGGTCATTGCTGTTGTAACTTCAGATGGTCACTAAACAAATGGTTATAAGTCGAGGGTTATCTGTAGTTGTACAGATAGTTTTGGGGTTACATCCATTTGTTGAGCAACTGTTCAAAATGACAGTATTGCTGACAAAAGGGACCTATGATTGGACCTTAGACTTAACAATCACTGCATCCCCATGGTCATGTGATCAACATTTGGGCATGTGACTGGCCTGTGTTTATGACCGTTGCAGCATCCGGTGACATTTTTCAGTCATGTGAGAACTCACTCCAACTCTCCTTCCTATTTTCTCCCTCCCCAACTCTTCCCTTTGGGCTGAGATGAAGAGACCACTGTATTCTGCCTCTGTTACCTCAACACCCTGGAAATCCTTTTAGCAGAAGGTATGGAACCCACTGGCCATTCTTTGGAGAAACCAGCAGCCAGAAAAAGAGCCATTGATTCGCCAATGATGGGTAGGACGGGTCCATCATTGGGCTAAATCTGGAAATAGTACCGGCTCTGGAACCTTCCTTTTTGCAGCTCTGTAGGTGAGAAGCCTGGAGGGAAGTCTGTCCTTGCAAATTTAGGAGTAGGTGAGAGGAACGACTTCCTGCCTTGCAAGTGCTGCAGACCATGGTAGGAAAAAGGGATGTTGTAAATGGGGAAGGAGGCAGCAAGTAACGGGTACACACATCTGCTTAAAACCAGTGTGGGTATAGCCACCAGTGACCTCTTTGCCCCCAGGATCAGTGCCCACACAAGGCAATCCCAGAGGAACTGGGTGCAGTATGGGTTTTGGAAGCCAAACGTCAGTATGGCCAGCAGTAACCCTGTCCCCACTGCATGCAGGTCCTGTTTAGGTAGTGGTGGGCACAGCTTTGGATTGGGGATATCCCACAATAATATTGAAAGTTTGGGGATAGGACTTTCCTAGTGAGACCTTCTTTGTTTCCCCTGTTCTAATTTCATTTGTTGACTGTGCCAAAGATGTCTTTTGAAGAAAGAAAGAAGAAGCTATTTCTCTCTTGCTTTATTAAAATATTGGAAACTGAAGACAATCATTTCAAGTCATACTTAATAGGTAGCATTATTATTTTAAAACAATGTTTTAAAAATTAAAATATCAACATATCCCAGTGGTGGCGAACCTATGGCACGCGTGCCAGAGGCGGCACGCGGAGCCCTCTCTGTGGGCACGCGCCATCGCCCCAGCACATGTGGTCTCTAAAAGTTCGCCATCACTGACCCAAGGCCAGCCAGCCTGGAGCCACCATTGGGAAGCCCACCATCCCACCCACCAGAAACCCCATGGATCTCCCCCAACCCTGCCCGGCTCCCACAGGTGTTCCTCCCCATAAGCAACATCAAGGTGGCCATGCCCACCCCGGCCATGCCCACCCAGTCTGCGATGACTACTGCAGCCACACCCATCCAGTGGCCACGCCCATCCAGTCTGCCAAGCCCACTGTAGCTGAGCCCGCCGAGTGGGCCATACCCACCCGGCACCCGGCGATACATAAGTGGGTTTTGGGTTACAATTTGGGCACTCGGTCTCTAAAAGGTTCGCCATCACTGACATATCCTTTTTAAAATGCACTATAAAATGGAACTAAATTGTGCAGTTATCACCTGTTCAGTTACAGCTTCATGCAGTACCAGCAGTTTATGAGTTTGATCATAGAATAAATTCTAAAGTATTGTAGATAGTCATTCCAGACATTAATGTTTGTATTCAGTACTTTTAAAGCAAGAGGTTTGTATGGGAGGTATCTTCACCTTCATTTACCTTTATGTAATATTTACTGTGATTTTTATTATTGTCTGTTCACCGCCCTGAGTCCCGTAAGGGAGATAGGGCGGTATATAAATTTTAATAATAATAATAATAATAATAATAATAATTGGTAAGATTAGAGACTTGCAAAAAAGAAAGGGGCAAAAAATATAAACATCTCTGCTGATTATCTGCATGAGTATCTTTGAAGCCTTTGTTTAGAAATAAATTTTTCCCAGTGAATTTTAACTTATTCTGTAAATTATAAACCAATATCTTTCTTTTCCCTTACCCTATTTCCACCTGGTTTTTTTCCCTTGCTGCAAGAATGGACAGGATATGTGTGTCTTTCGGTATTTGCGAGAATAATTGGTAATATAAGTGATATGCAATTATTTTTTATAAATGAGATCTTAATTTAGTATTTAACAAGCTGCATAAGATTTTTATTTCTCTAATTTTGTTTTTTACCTTTCTTTGGAGGTTGTCATTTTAAATATAGATCGTTTTCCTCTGAAGTAATTTTGAGAAATGAAGCTTGTGACTATGGAAAATCATTTCCAAATTTAGCAATGAAGAGAAGGAGAAGAGACCATTGATTGTATTCTGTTGCAACAAGAATGGAACAGTTTAACATTGTTAGAAGTAGATTTGACATTTTCTGGTGTATTGTGGAGCAGCTTCAGGCATTTGAATTCTTTAGGCTCTTGGATACGTTGCGTGCCATTTCTATTATTTGAGTTATTTCTGTGGGTGAACACTGTTCATGTTTTTTTTTAACTTTGCAACAACTGATAACTGCTTTGCTTACTTTGTGTTACACAGTGAGAAGTGTTACAAGGAGCTATAACATTGATTTGACATACGAATTAGGTGCTTATCATTGCTTAATGGGTCTTAAGATACAGTTAAGATGCTCCATTTTCATAGGACTGAGGGCCTTGCTAATTTTCATATGGTTTCCTTGAGGGCTTCATTGCAAAAAGTTCAAGTCACATTTTTTTTAATGCCTAGGGAAAATTAAATGCTAATTTTAATTGTACTGATTATTTGTTAAATTGTAAACAGATAGTTTTAAATGTTCCCCATCATTTTAAAACAAATACATGAGCAAAAGATGCTGCCCACTCTTTCATGATTGATTGATTATGTGCCATCAAGTTGTTGTTGATAGTTAGCAACTATATACATAGATGTTTTCTGTGATGATCTGTCCCTAACCTTTCTTTCATGTTTTCTAATGGTGAACTCATTGCCATTAAAATTAAGTCGGTCCACTTTACTTCTGGTTGTCTTTTTCTCTTCCTATTACTTTCCCCAGCATTAAAGCCTTCACCAGAGTTAAGTCTTCACATAATGTGTCCAAAGTAGGTTCATTTGAGCTTGGTCACTTGTACCTCTAGTGAGAACAGATATCTCATATATTAGCAAGGGTGCAGGACAAAGTAAAGAGAGACATGATCCGTTGGAGAGTTGTTCATGGGCAAGAGAACCATATTCTGAAATTGTGTCAGGTTACCTGTGACTCCTTCATAAGCAGGTTGTGCACTTAATTTGGGAGATGGTTTTTTTCTTATCTTGAGTAGCGCAAGATCTACTGTGGGGACCCTAGCCCTCGATTCTTGTTCATATTTTGGAATAATATTACTTGCTTGGAGTTGGTTGTAGGCTACAGTTCAGAAAGCACTGATTTAGAAGCATACACTATAGTTCCAATTATTGATGACTTCATCTAGTCGTTGAGCTAAAATGGTCCCATATTAGAAACTGAATTATATTCATGCTCAGATTTTACCTCTTTCCTTGAAGAAAACACCCATTTCGGTTTCATTAACATATGGGTTCAGTAATAGAATTTTTTTTGCTTGAAGGAGTAGTCAGAATAAATAGTAAGAGTAAACTTACACATTTGTAGTAGAACATATCTGATTTCTTCTCAGTAATGTTGTTGTTAATTGCGAAGTTGTGTCCGACCCATTGCGACTCCATGGACAACGTTCCTCCAGGCCTTCCTGTCCTCTACCATCTTCTGGAGTCCATTTAAGCTCACGCCTACTGCTTCAGTGACTCCATCCAGCCACCTCATTCTCTGTCATCCCCTTCTTCTATGCCCTCAATCTTTCCCAGCATTAAGCTCTTCTCCAGTGAGTCCTTCCTTCTCATTAGGTGGCCAAAGTACTTGAGTTTCAACTTCAGGATCTGGCCTTCTAAAGAGCAGTCAGGGTTGATCTCCTCTAGGACTGACCGGTTTGAACACCTTGCAGTCCAAGGGACTTGCAGGAGTCTTCTCCAGCACCATAGTTCAATAATAATAATAATAATAATAATAATAATAATAATAATAATAATAATAATAATAATAATAATAATAATAATAATTTTAATTCATAGTTCTTCAGTTTTGCTGGATTTTGACTAAACTGTGTTCATGTGTCAGTACAGAAAACTAGATGCATCCAGAAAAAGGAACGTCCCGCAGTTTTAATTCTCAGTTCAGTAAAATGCCAAAAACAATGTCAGTGTGACAGGATCTACTTCTTGTTAAGTAGAAAGGTCCCTGGTTTTCAATGGTTTGTTTTCTCTTCATGCTACTCTGGGTAGACTTGCAGAACCTCATGTGTCCTTTGTCAGTATATAAAGAAAATATTATCATAAGCTTCCGCTAAATGTTGAAGACAGTGCACGATTTATCCTTCCTCACAGCTTCTTTGATTCAGTCTCTTTTCAAAATACCCTAATTCCAGTTCCATTCAAAGACTATATTACAAAGCCCTTTTTTTGGTTTTCCACTTATTTGCATTGATCGGTTCAAACAGCAGAATAGTAGCTTGCAAAGTATTTGTGGAAATATATGTTTCAGGTATACAGTTGAGAGAAATGCCTAATCTGTTTTATGTTTTGTTTTTAAATTGGAAGATATTGGCGATACTCAAATGGATGTTAGCTGGTGTGCATAATACCGTAGGATGTGTGCTGTGTCTTTTCATGGGGACTAAAAGTACACTTGGAAAGAGATAAACGGCTAATGGCTTCTGACTCAATGGTCCCAGAGCAAGGAAAACATGTGGTGACGGGAAAAAGACATCAAAAGCATGAAAGGTCACCTTTGAACAGTGACGGGGAAGAAGACACATTTATATTTGAAGCCAACGAAGCTTGGAAGGATTTTCACAGCTCTCTTCTCCATTTCTATGAAGCTGGGGAGCTTTGTGATGTGACGCTGAAGGTAGCGATTCATATCTTCTATATAACTTTTGAATTTCTGTATGGAATTTCCCATGTAATTTGTCAAGTACTAGAAGATGTATTTGCTTTTCATCGCTTATATTTTTCTACTGACTGACTGGGAATGAATTTCAAGCGGTTACATCACTTTTTTATACATAAAAGTTGCTAGAAATCTTGTAGATATAATAGAACAGTTGGTGCTTGTTGGAATCCTGCAATGGTGCTGTGTTAATGAGGGATCTGAACATAAATGAAAAAAAAGTCACCGTCTAATTTAAAGATGTACAACTCTTAAAAATACAGTACCTAGATGAGTCCATTTAACTGGCATGAAATGTACCATTGAATGAACTTGTAGGATAAAAACCTAAAGTGCACTGAGAATTTTTGCACAAATAAGAGATTCCTTCATAAACATGCACTCTTCCCCCATGTTAAGAGAGTGTGGGTCTTACTTGAAACTAGCTACAATGAGATACAGTGTGTTGTAGAAATAGTTATGAAGAGTTTGTAGCTGAATAAACAGTTTTGGCTCAGTTAGCTATCTGAGTTAGCTAATCAAGAAGAGAAGAAACCTAGAACTAAGGAGAAACCTCCTGACAGAACAATTAACCAGTGGAACAACCTGCCTCCAGAAGCGGTGAATGCTCCAACACTGGAAGTTTTTAAGAAGAGACTGGACAGCCATTTGTCCGAAATGGTATAGGGTTTCCTGCCTGAGCAGGGGGTTGGACTAAATGACCTCCAAGGTCCCTTCCAACTTTTATTTTTATTATTATTATTATTATTATTATTATTATTATTATTATTATTATTATTATTATTATTATTATTATTATTATTATTATTATTTAATGAAAAGGGCAGCTGATTCAGAAACTGAATAAATTTGCTAATCGTTAATTGTAAAATAGAAATTAATACTTCAACCATCTTCAGGTAGGAAGAAAAAAGGGCAAACCGGAAAAACTGGCATCAGATAAGTAACACTTTCTAACGGTAGAAGCAAAATGAAAATATTTGCAAGAACTTTCCATTTGCTGAAATACTAATAAAGCGTATTATCAGACATTCTATTTAATTTGTGGACTTTGTGAGTCCCTTTAAATAATGAGCCAAAGTAGCTTAACTAAATGATGGCAGGCACCTGAATTCCAACTCCAATACTTATTTTGTCATCTTGCTTTGTTTTTGTAAATTCACTTTTGAAATTTGGGGTTTGAGCAGCTACCCTGGTGTTACTGGAATGTTCTGGGCTTGAAAACATGTTTTCAACCTAGGATCCGTTCTTGTGTGGTCAGAACAATATCAGTACAATGTATGTTTAAAAACCCTCTTCAGTGTTCAAGACCAGTAATTTATTTAGCAGTGGTTCTCTTTTTGCTGTAGGCCAGGGATAGGCAACCTTGGCTCTTTTATGACTCGTGGACTTCAACTCCCAGAATTCCTGAGCCAGCCATGCTGAGGGGAAAGGGAGAGGTTTCCAAGCTGAGCCATGCTGGCTCAGGAATTCTGGGAGTTGAAGTCCACGAGTCATAAAAGAGCCAAGGTTGCCTACCCCTGCTGTAGGCCAAAGTGAGCTACTATTAATATCCTTACGTGTTTTCCTTACAGGTGGGTTCAAAGTTGATTACCTGTCACAAGCTTGTCCTGGCTTGCGTTATACCTTACTTCAGAGCCATGTTTCTCTCTGAAATGGCAGAAGCTAAACAATCATTGATTGAAATCAAAGATTTTGACGGCGATGCCATTGAAGACTTGATCAAGTTTGTGTATTCATCCCGACTAATGCTGACAGTTGACAATGTCCAGCCTCTCTTATACGCTGCCTGCATTCTCCAAGTGGAGATAGTGGCCAAAGCTTGCTGTGAGTACATGAAGCTGCATTTTCATCCTTCAAATTGCCTGGCAGTGAGGGCCTTTGCAGAGAGTCACAACCGTGTCGACTTGATGGACATGGCTGACCACTATGCCTGTGAACATTTTGTTGAAGTGGTGGAATGTGAAGACTTTGTGAGTGTATCACCTCAGCACCTTCATAAACTGTTGTCTTCAAGTGACCTGAGCATTGAAAATGAAAAGCAAGTTTATTGTGCTGCCATTAAATGGCTTTTGGCCAATCCCCAGCACCATGCTTTATGGTTAGATGAAATAGTTGCTCAGGTAAGAACCAGATGAGAGTAGGATAAAAGTCTTAATACAATTTACCTACATTGTTTCTCTGATTGTATTTTTTCATTTGTGATGGTACTTTCAAACAGTCGTATTTTTCTTTATGCAGCGTTAGTTATATACGTATAAATGGCACAGGTGGTTCTCTAACTTCTGCCAAACAGGTACCCTTTGGTTTTGTTAGATTCAACTTCTTGTGTCCATTTAGACTTGGAGACAGTATGGAAATAGATTCCATTAATCTAGCTTACACTATATGTCCTGGTGCTCTTCGCCCAGTTACTGATTAGATCAACCTAGGTCTCCAGGTTGAAAATTAGCAGCCACTGTTGTTATAGCTTTTTGTTCAATATTGACAGTCCTGCACTATATAATTATGTAAATGAGAACTTGCAGCAACGAGGTAGGATGACCAAAGAATGCCTAATAGGGGAATTGGAAGTAAATTCATTGTCATTTGTCCTCAAGGATATTCCCTCTCCATTTAGTGCTACTAAGATGAGACAATGTCTGTAGTTTATCTTGAATAAATGACAGTACTTGGTAAGCTCATTAATGGAGATAATCTTTGCCACATGATTTTAAGATACCGTAGTAGGATTTCTATCTGCAGGCCTTTGACTATTTAGCTGAGAAGATCTTCAGCTCTTTCAGGACGTCTTCAATGAACAGGCCATTAAGAATTGGTTTGGGTAGCATCTCTAGTGGTTCAGAGTGCTTGGTGTTATTCTTTCCAATCTGAACTTGCATTGCAATTTTGTCCTAATGAAACATGCATATTGCACCTTTGCACTGGTTAAATAAAATTAAAAACTAGTTTAACCAACCAGGCTTGTTGATAAATACATGTTTATTCTTCAAATTCATTGCTGACATTAAGTCGGTTATCTGGTAAGAGTAGGCAAAATTCTCACAGCCTTGGATATAATGCAGCAGTAAGAATGAAAATGCTCTGTAGCACGGCATTCTCTCATTTGTCAAAGTGATATGGGAAGATGTTAATTTAGGTCTTGATGCTGTTCCATTCATCATTTATGTTTGTTCCCCTAGGTACGCCTGCCTCTATTACCTGTTTGTTTCCTTATGGGAGTTGTGGCAAAAGAAAAAATAGTCAAGCAGAACTTAAAATGCAGAGATTTGTTAGATGAAGCAAGAAACTACCATCTTCATTTAAGCAGTCATACGGTACCAGATTTTGAATATTCTATTCGGACAACGCCAAGGAAACACACAGCAGGTATCTTATTTTTTCCTGATGCACCAGTGGTATAAATTCTGTAAAATCACGTTAATGAGTTCAGTGTGCTTTATTTGATACCCACTGAATTTTATTTATTAGTTTAAATCTTATCAAATAAGGTGCTCTCCATTTCGTTTTTCCTATTAGGTGTCCTTTTCTGTGTTGGGGGACGTGGTGGATCAGGCGACCCATTTCGCAGTATTGAATGCTACTCAATAAATAAAAATAGCTGGTTTTTTGGTCCTGAAATGAACAGTAGAAGGAGGCATGTAGGAGTAATCTCTGTGGGAGGTTCGTAAAAAGAAAATTCTATTGTCAGATAATTCTGCATTTCATTGTAGCTTTATGATTCAGCCATTCTGTCAACCCTATAATCACTATATTTTCCGAGGAAGAAGAAAACTCTGAATTTAAGATGATTATCACAAAAGCAAAGCAAAAAAAGTAGTTAGGGGGGAAAAATAGGACTAATATGTGTAGTGAACAAATTCCCCACTTTTTCAACTTATTGTAGGAAATTCTCCTTAATTGTTTATGAGACACATTGGTTTGTGCATCACAGTTACATCTTTATATATCTGCCATAAACCACAATCCAAAAACAGCACCAGAGCAACAGTGAATTACTAATAAATATAACATACTTCTCCATTAATAAAATTTACGCTATATCCGTATGTACCAACCTCCCTCTCTCGAACACAAAATTATATATTTGTGTTTTATTTATTTATTATTTATTTATTGTTCGAATTTATATCCCGCCCTTCTCCTTGCGGACTCAGGGCGGCTGACAATCAATTAAAAACACCAATAACATCACAAAATTTAAAATTAATTAAAATGAAATATTTAACTTGTCTAATTTAAAATATAATTAAAAACCCCTCTAAAAACCCCTCTTAAAAATTACCCTAGGCCAGTCCCGCTTGTTGGAATAGCCATGTCTTGAGGGCGCGGCGGAAGGAAGGGAGATCAGGGATCACCCTGATCTCTGGGGGCAGCTCATTCCAGAGGGTGGGAGCTCCAGCTCATTCCAGAGGGTGGGAGCTTTTACATGTATGTATGTCTACAGCAGTGCTTAAAAGTTTGTGAATCCTTTTGAATTTTTAATATTTCTGCATAAATACACTAGGACCTCCACACGTCCTAAAATTTAGCTAAAAGAATCCAATCAAACAAAAGAATCAATACTTGTTTATTTACTATTCATTTATACTGAGCAGCAATTTCGCCTGGACCAAGTATGGGTTCTGCTAAATCCTAGCCTTGTATTTTCATATTCTCTTCTTGGCAGAGCTCAGGTTTTCCTTCCTTGTGTTTTGGGTATCTCTTTTCCCATCTCTAAATATCTGCTTGCCAGTAATGGGCTATTAAACAATTTTTTGCTTAATAATGCTTTTTCATTAAAAGAAAATACCCAAGAGAACTCACAAAGATACTGGAAATTGCTAAAGAGGTTTCAGTTGTAACACGATACTACTGAAAAACAACAAATACAAAATGTCAGAATTAAAAAAAAATCTTAGGTCAAATGTATGCCTGAACAAAGAAGTCTTCATCTGCTGAGAAATGATCATCAGTAAAGTCAAAGTTCTGGACAGAGTGATGTGATGTCCTCCCAGCCAATCCTTTCTCAGATGCTAGCTTGTTCCAAGAATCGTAATGATATCCTATAGATTAAATGCTTGAATAGAAAAGTAAAATTTGCTAATTTTTACGTTTGTAGCCATTTAATTCAGCAAGTCACACAGGAAGAAAGAGTTCCTTCTGGGGGGAAAAATATATTTCAGTTAATTTGTCAAAACATTTCTTAACTACGTTGGGGCAGATTGTACCAATTTCAACTCCTGTAATGTTAACAATAAATAACAATAAAATAAGATGATTGGCTACTCTTCTTCTTAAGAAATATATTGTCTGAACATTTCAGGTAAAGTTTATGCTGTGGGTGGGCATGATGGAAACGAACACCTAGGCAGCATGGAAGTGTTTGATCCTCTCACAAATAAATGGATGATGAAAGCATCAATGAATACCAAAAGGTAGGTAGACTCCGCTTATGTATACTCACTGAGAGAAATCAAAAGGATACGGGCTTGTAGTCCTTTCCTGTAATAGCCTTCACAGTATGGAAATTTTTGCCTCGGCACCGGAGGTATACCTAGCATTCTCCCTGATGGTTTTCCATGAGGCAGTTAAGATACATCTTTTTGAATGATGGGTAAAGTCAAGAGATGGGTTTGCAGTAGTCTAGCGGTTCCTTTTGACGACTTACATATTTTCTTTTTCTTTTTGGTAAACTATTTGTAATAAATAAAATTGGGGCTTTATTACATTTACATTACATGTTGACTTTTGTTACCCAAGTGAATTAAAGATAAAACTACATGTGCTTTAGAACACGTGTTGCTTTATTTTAAAATACAACTGGATAAGCGACTGTATGCTTTTTGTTAGGAGAGGAATTGCTCTTGCCTCCCTTGGAGGCCCCATTTATGCCATTGGAGGCTTGGACGATAACACTTGCTTCAGCGAGGTGGAAAGATACGACATGGAGTCCGACCAGTGGAGCGGAGTTGCATCTATGAACACCCCTCGGGGAGGGGTTGGCTCTGTAGCAATTCTGGTAAGCAAGTTGAAGTGAACAGCAAACATTGCCTGCTGGAGCAGAAACAATAGGATAACATGGAGTACTTCAACTATAACAGGGGTAGGCAACCTTGGCTCTTTTATGACTCGTGGACTTCAACTCCCAGAATTCCTGAGCCAGCATGGCTTGGCATGGAAGCCTTTCCCTTTCTCCTCAGCATGGCTAGCTCAGGAATTCTGGGAGTTGAAGTCCACGAGTCATAAAAGAGCCAAGGTTGCCTACCCCTGAACTATAACTATATTCAGTTAAGGGCCTAGTTTCCAATAGTAAATAAGGCATGGAATGGAACAGACGAGAGGAATAGAGCAATATGATGGTTTAAACATCTGAGACAGTTCAATATTTTTCAGAATTTTGCATTTTCAGTTTATTCAGTTGGATTACAGTGACTCTTGTTTCATTTTTACAATTCAAGTTAATTTGAGATAATTAAACTTAGGCTGACAAAGGTAAATTAGAAAATGTGATTTAAGATAAAGTATGTGTTTAATGTGTTACATGCATGGTATATAAGAATTTATAGAATCTTATTCTATTTCTCATTTTAGAATAATGTATATGCTGTTGGTGGGAATGATGGTGTGGCTTCTCTCTCTAGTGTGGAGAAATATGATCCTTACCTTGATAAATGGATAGAAGTGAAGGAAATGGGTCAGCGGAGAGCTGGCAATGGGGTTAGTGAACTTCATGGCTGTTTATATGTGGTAGGTGAGTAATGTTCAGCCCTTTCTCCCTTTTGATCCCCTATATTCTGATAGCTTTGCTTGAACTTCAATTGTAAAAGCAGATTGTGGTGAAGAGAAGACATCAGTCTTCTGTAAGTAAACCATTACAGCCAATATGTACAGGGCTACCACAAAGAAGAGGGGGTCAACCTAATCGCCAAAGCATCTGAAGGCAGAACAAGAAGCAGTAGCTGGAAACTAATCAAGAAGAGAACCAATCTAGAAATGAGGAGAAATTTCCTGACAATTAGAACAGTTAACCAGTGGAACAGCTTGCCTTCAGAAGTGGTGTTCCATCACTGGAGGTTTTTAAGAAGAAATTGGAGAACCACTTGCCTGAAGTGGTATAGGGTCTCCTGCTTGAGCAAGGGGTTGGACTAGAAGACCTCCAAGGTCCCTTTCAACTCTTTTATTCTAAGTATGAGTGTCTGTGAATTCTGACTGCTGAGCATAAAGGCTGCCCTTCTGATGAAGGAGCAGGTGTGGGGGCTGGACAAGTAGTTAGACCTGGCATGTTGAGTTACTCTGAGGACTTAGTTTGACCAGTTAGACTACAAGAGTATGTTTTGGTTTTCAAACCCAATTTCTGAATGCTCAAGGGAGTGAGGAGAAGAATCTCCAGCAGATTACTTCTCCTTTAGAGAGTTTAGTGCAGGGGTCTCCAACCTTGGCAACTTTAAGACTTGTGGACTTTAATTCTCAGAATTCTGGGAGTTGAAATCCACAAATCTTAAAGTTGCCAAGATTGAGGACTCCTGGTTTAGTGTTTGCTGGTCAGAAGCTGGTTAATTGCTAGTCACCTCTCTGTCTTACAAGGATTTCTCCCACATGCATGTAACATATCTGGTAATGTTAGTTTGTAAATATTAGGCTAAAGTAATAGCTTCTTTTGGAGTGGAAATAGTTGGGATGGGCAGTCCATCTTTTGCAATAAACCTGTCATTGCTTGTGTGAAGAATTCTCTTAGCAAGTATGTTGCGTTTGTATGATGTTTGAATAACAGAATATATGGTATGCGTCCTACATTGTTGGTCTATAAAACTATTAACTACAAAGAATCATATCCCTGTCTATATGTTTTTGTGCAGGTGGTTTTGACGACAACTCTCCACTTAGCTCGGTTGAGAGATTTGACCCTCGCACGAATAAGTGGGAATATGTAGCAGAACTAACAACTCCTAGGGGTGGAGTTGGCATAGCAACATTAATGGGCAAAATTTTTGCTGTTGGAGGACATAATGGGAATGCTTATCTGAATACAGTGGAAACCTTTGATCCAGTAGCAAATAGGTAATTTGAAGCCATCTGCGTACTCAAAGCGTTTGAAAGTAAAGCTTAAGCACATACAGAACCACATATATTGCAAACAATGCAGCCACTTTAACAATTTGTAAGGAAGGCACTCAGTACTCTTACATCCAAGGTCTCGTTGGATGATTTTTCACAGCCTTTTGGCTTGTTCGTTGCTTAATTGGCTGATTAAAAGTAGGAAGACTTTGGTATAGTTTTAATATATAATTTTCATGTTTTTGCACTACTTATCAAGCAGGTTTTTTTGACTCATAAATCTGTACATTATGTGGTTAGAATCAGTGTTCTTGAGTGTGGAGTAGCTTGGGATATTGATTTTTAAGCAAACACTTGTCTTGTAGAGAGGCAACATTAAGGTGTGGATTGGCATTATGCCTTTTCTACAGCATTGTTTGTAGCTTAAAAGCTGCACAGTTTACTGTTAGTAAATTTGCTTTCAAGAGTTTATAAATTAGGGGAAAATGAACAAAGGTTTCAAATTTGGTGCTTTTGTCTGTATTTGAATCTGTCTGTTTTCAGTGGTTGATTTTTTAAAAACATTTAGTTCATCCGTTGTGTCATGTCACAATGTGATTTTTGGTTCTTATTTTGGTTTAGTTTGCTATGTTAATTCAGCCCTTGTGATTCAAACCATAGTTTATGAGTGCGGGTGTGGAGCCCATCCAGTGACTGAAGTCATATGTTGTCATGAATCATGACTTATTTAATTGTAGTTTGTTGGATGCATCTCTGTTAAGTATATTTCAATAAGCTAAGCCAGGGGTAGGCAACCTTGGTTCTTTTATGACTCGTGGATTTCAACTCCCAGAATTCCTGAGCCAGTGGCTCAGGAATTCTGGGAGTTGAAGTCCACGAGTCATAAAAAAGCCAAGGTTGCCTACCCCTGAGCTAAGCTATAATGTATGAACCACGGTTTCACAATGTTTCACATTTTGCTGAAGTGGCTTACGAGAGTTTGTGTGATCCCAATCTCTGTTTAAAAGGACCTTTACTGTTCAGCAAACTTTTCTTCATGTGTTTAGTTTCAACTTAAGTATTTAAATAGACACAAAAATTAAAGTATTTTGAAATTGAATTGGTAACATGAGACTGAGATGTATCTAACCTGCAACCTAACTTTTTTCACATTAAGATTAGGAAAAAGCAAACCAACTTGACTTGCATTTCTCCCCCCCCCCC